CCAGGAGTTTGAGGTTGCTGTGAGCTAGGCTGACACCACGGCACTCTAGCCAGGGCAACAGAGCCAGACTCTGTCTCAAAAAAAAATAATAATAATAATACCGAACATGTTCTCTAAATATAGATAAGTTAAATTAGAAATTTGTTTAGAGTAATAAGAATAACTTTAAAAACTCATATACTTGTGAAGTTTAAAACATACCTCTAAATAGCTCATGGACCAGGGACAAAATAAAAATAATGTATCAGGGTCCCAACAGGAAACAGATGATTTTAAAGATGTAGGTGGGGTATATGGGAACCACAAGGAATAGTGGAGGAACTCAGACTAGCAACAGTAGAACTGTCAGAACCTCTAGGTCTAAAGGGATGAAGAGAGAGAAATTACTAGAATCCAAAAGGAGATTCCAGTTTTGTTTATGGAGCAAACCACCGTGATAAAAGCAGTGACCTTCTGTCAAGGGCCTTAAGTAGCCTGAGGCAATCTTACAGGGAGGAGTCTGGGCATGGTGGCTCACACCTGTAATCCTAGCACTCTGGGAGGCCGAGGTGGGAGGATTGCTAGAGGTCAGGAATTCAAGGTTGCTGTGAGCTAGGCTGATGCCATGACACTCTAGCCCGGGCAACGGAGTGAGACTCAAAAAAAAAAAAAAAAATATCTCACAAGGAGGAGACCAGATCCATCTCCTGCCAGGAATTCCCACACACAGAACCCAAAGGGAAGACAGAGGGCACAGCAGCCCATTGGTGTAGTTCCCACAAGCAGTCCTTAGGGCAGAGAGTAGGGTGGAAAAGGGAGGAAATAAGTGGATCCCGAGGGATAAAAGGAAATTGATAGGCACAAATTTAAAGCTCAAGGGACTGGGTGTGGTGGTTGAGATCTATAATCCCAGCACTTTGGGAGCCTCAGGCGGGAGGATCCCTTGAGGCTAGGAGTTCAAAACCAGCCTGGGCAACATAGCCGGATCCCATCTCTATAAAAATAAAAAATTTACCAGGGCATGGTGGCACATGCCTACAGTCCCAGTTACTCAGGAGGCTGAGGCAGGAGGATTGCTTGAGCCCAGGAGTTGGAGGTTACAGTCAGCTATGATGATGCCACTGCACTCTAGCCCGGGTGACAGGGTGATATCCTGGCT